CTAGACCATCCAGAGTATGAATCATGAACCACTACTCTCTGATTACAATCTTTTAGTCAGTTTTCTATCCATTTACATACAGATTTTTCCAAGCCTGTAGACTTTACCTTACACATTAGCCGTGTGTGGGGAACTGTGTCAAACGCTTTTGCAAAATCCAAGTATACCACGTCCACCACCACCCCAATGTCCAAGGTTTTGCTCACTTCCTCATAAAAGAATCAGATTTTTTTGACAACTTCTGTCTTTCATGAATCCATGCTGTCTGTTGCTTAAAATACTTTTTTCCAGCAAAAACTCAAAAATGTGGTCTTTTATTAAACTTCCCAACTACAGAAGTTAAACTAACAGGTCTATAATTACTTGGTAACAATTTTGACTCCTTTTTGATTGGCGTTTTCCTAATTTCCTATCAGCTGATCCGAAATAGCTGAGCTTACTCTCTGGTACCTCTTCACTACCATCATTGGACTTTAGTTTTCTATACAACTTTTTGATGTTTACAGTTTATTATTTTGGAAGACTTGATCCTTCCACCTTTGTACCTTTCTACTCTGTGTAACTTTAAATCTTGCTTATAAAAACTTTAATTAAGTAAGACCGAACGAAAATCCTATGGTTGTCTACTGTGCCTGTTCACACCTGAGCGTAACTAGTACATGAGGTTTTTTGATCTACAAGCTTCAAGCATTTTTGGCTTCAATATAATTCAATGAAAGCTCCTAATAATGTCCATCTTTTGCTAAAAACAAATTATAATAAATACACCCATAATTATTAAAAAAATGTTCATATATTTATTTTTTGCATTGAAGTCTGCAAAGCATTACAGCCGCAATCAGTGGATCATGTATGCAATGCCAGGCTCCTGTAAGTTATTCCTCTAGCCTCAGGTCTGTATTGAGGTACAAACCTTCAGTTTACGGGTTGGAGGAAGTATCAATGGTCTACAAATGTGGCAATGTCACTGCACCTTTGCTCCATTAGGAACTATATGTCACTGTGGTAGATAGGATGGAACCTCACACAGCTGCACCAAATTAAAAAAAAAATTACAAGACCTGGTAGGGAGAAGAACCCCCACTTTTCTGTAACAGGGTGGGGAAGAGGGGCAGTTTGAGGGTATGCGGCTGTGGACTCTGACCATGTTTTCTGATGTAGCATGAAACATGGTCAGAAAGATGGACTTACCTTTTAAAATACCAGTTTAAACAAATGTTTCATACATGTCTTTGGGGTTTCGCTTCAGAGATCTCTGCCCTAGGTTGTTCAATTTGGTAGGTGTGAGGTAGCGCTGGACATATCCAATTTTGGGTTTGTTATATGTAAATCTTTTGAGAAGAGATGATAAAAGGTGACCCAGTTGTGGTTAAGCCCTGAAGAGGTGGGATGTCCTTTCCCAAAATGGGGTGGATTTATTAAGGTTTTTAAAGAATAAAGGATTTTAAGGTTTGTAGTTCAAAAATGTACATGAGGTTCTTTTAAGCTACAACTTCACTCATTTTTGGCTTCAATAGAATTCAATGGAAGCTCTTAAAAATTTCCACTTATTGCAAAAAAAAAACCAAACAATAAATACACCCATAATTATGGTAAAATGTGCATATATGTTTTTTTTGCATTGGAGCTTGCAAAGCAGCCATGGAACCTTCAGTTCCGTGGCTGCACCAAGTATCAATGGGCTAGAAGCGTGGTAATATCACCGCACCTTTTGCTCCATTGATAACTACGAGTCCCTCTGCCACTGTGGTAGATAGGATGGAGCCTCACACAGCTGCGCCAAATTAAAAAAAAAAAACAATTACAAGACCTGACAGGGAGAAGAACCCCCGGATTTTGTAAAAGGGTGAGGAAGTGGAGCAATTTGAGGGGCAGTGGCTGTGGACTCTGACGTGCTTGTCTGAAATAGCATGAAACATGGTCAGAAAGATGACTTTTTAAAGTACCACTTTAAAAAATATTTCTTGCAGGTCTTCAGAGGTTTAGTTTAGGAGATCTCTGCCCTAGAATTTTCAGTTTAGTGTGTCAGTACTGAACCAATCCAATTTAGGGTTTGTTTGTTTAGGCGTTTGATATGTAAATCTAGAAAGTTTAAGAAGGTTGACCTACAACAAAGGCATGGTAAAAGTTAAGATTAAGCCCCCAAAAAGTGGGATGTGCCTCAGTCATAATGAGTTGGCTGTAATTTATACAGTAATCTTTTCTAACCAAACTCACACCATCGTTTATTTCTACCAAGTACTCCTAACTTTACTCATAAAAAAATGGAATTTTCCAATGTAATGTAATGAAAATGCAAGAGAAAGAGTGAAAACCACTAGAAACTGGGAGATCTCAAAAGCAGAATTTCATAACATTTTTGGAGGACATGCCAAGTTGACTTAAACTAGAAAAAAAGAAAAGAAACATTCTAGTGTATAAGGAAAGCTGACATACCCCGGGTTCCCACACTTAATGAATAACCTTTTTCCATTACGGAGTGCTGTCAAATGCGGGTGGGGTGGAGGAGAATGCCTATGCCTGTACAACTATTGAATTTTGGGAACTCGTTGTTTGCCTTGGAATCTCTATAGAATCTGCAGATTTTTCACTGCAAAGAAAAATCTGGTTGCCTTGCCAAACAGGACTGTGCTGTGTGCCAGAGCTGTGTAAACCTCAGAATTAGATGGGACAGAAATATAAATCTTTTGACAGGTAAAACAACTCCATATATGTATTTATTCTGTGTATTTAGCGGTTTGCCTCAAGCTGTTATCACGCCTTTCCCTTTAGCTTATACTTGGAGATTTACTTTACCACAAGAAGGGTTAATAAGAGAAAGGAAGAGAAAGATCAACTTTATTTTTAGAAGGTCAGAAGTTTCAGGCTAAATATAAATGCTGACAATCCCCTACTATAATACTATCAAAGAACAAAGCCTTGTATAGCTCTTTAAAACACTAAGAAGGCCAAAATACCCTACAACATAGCTAGAGTGTTCAAAAAGTGGGAGTCCAATGCTGTGATCAACACATTCCAAAGAAGTCAAGTTCTCCATTTCCACAAAAGGAAGGGGAGGGGGGCAGTAAATGGTGAATGGCTTTGTTTTTTAGTGGGTATGGGAACTAATATAACTCTTGGTCATAATCAGAAGGGCTGTACAAAAGGTAAGGATTATGTGTTGAGTGCGGTAAACCATAACAATAAACCAATTATCACCTTTAATCAAGTCAGGGAGGTCGGAACATGAAAGAAAACTCCAGATTCCCAGCTATGAATAACTTCACATTGTTTCTTAACTTACTCTGGATACTTCTGATCACACAAAATTTTCAGTTCTTGGGAATATTTGGTTAAAATGCAAAGTGAAAAATCTCCAGTTTACTATAAAAGCACACAATTATAACTAAAGTTTCAGATTTAAAAAGTTCTGCTTGATTATTTTAGGCCCATGAAGCTCCTATATGCAAACATGCAAAACCAAAAAACATGCATTCATCTATGTAGCTAAAGGGATTGTGGAGATATTCATCTTTAAATATCACAACAGCGCAGCTCCTCTCCTTATGATAGAAAAAACACTTTATGTGCACTTAAAAGTCAAACTCTGGTCAAATTTCGAATGAAATATTGTGCAAATACAAGAAACATGTGTTTTAACTTAATTCTTGGTGTCATTTGTGTATTTCTTTCAGACCTGAGCAGGAACCAAGTATGAAACCAATTCTGTATTTTGCTTCTCGTCATGGGTTTCCTGTACAGACCCGTCACTGCTGCTCTCTCTCTTTGGGCAGGGTGAATGGTATTGTCCCCGCCCCCTCCTGTAGTTTTCTGCACACAGCCTCTAGTGGGTGGAGACTGCTGGGTCCCTCCCATAGCTCTGTTCTCTACATAGGCTATGTACAGCACAGTGATGATGTCACTAATACTTTTACAAGGCAATAGGTTTTCAAAGGTATTTGGTGCACATAACATGGTTATCTTTTCTGGTTATTGAGGAATATGGAAGTAAAGTCCACTTTAGAACTTGTACCTACAGGTAAGGAGATATTTACATAACATGAGCCGGTGACGTCACCGGCACATGTGCTCTGAAGGGATGATATATTGTGCCGGACTTTCAGAGCTCTGTGCCACAACTTAAGGCGGACGTCATTGCGACTCCGGCCATTCACATGGCCGTAACCCACAAACCTGGAAGGAAAACTGGGTGAAGATGACAGTGATGGGGATCCAAGACAGCGCTGCGCTAGAAGGCTTGGCTCGGAGCATACTAGCACATTATGATCTAAATCTGCCGGGGTCCAATGTGTTCTTTTTCTTGCGGTTTACTACCACTTTAAGTGCTTGTTGTCAACCAGCTCTTGGTCACTCTTTATGATCAGAAGATAGAGAGAAAACAGGTGGCGCACACACCTAGTGCATTATCCAAGGTTTATTGTAGGAATGAAATAATAAAAACATACTCACAGACGAAGCATGTATCTAAAAAGCATAGAAAAATGACAATGACCACAACAGCGGGCAAGGTGTTCTCATTGTCAGTGCGGTCAAATGGCTGACGCGTTTCGGGGACAAATCCCTTTCCTCAGAGCTGATGACCAACCTCTGATGCTGATGTGTGATGTATGGACAGAAAGAGCCTTGCTGTTGATGCCTCAGAAGAAGCAGGTAGGACTGGCCCCTGACAATGTGACCACTGTGACACATGATCGGGAGACTGTCTACTGACTGCTCAATTTTAAGAGACCCTTAACCACCTGCCTACCGGGCACTTTTACTCCCTTCCTGCCCAAGCCAATTTGAAGCTTTCAGCACTCTCACACTTTGAATGACAATTGCGCGGTCATGCAACACTGTACCCGTATGAAATATTTATCATTTTTTTTCACACAAGTAGAGCTTTCTTTTTGTGGTATTTAATTGCTGCTGGGTGTTTTATTTTTTGCACTGTAGCAACAAATGAAAAAAAAGTTTTTGTTTCTATTAAAAAAAATTTTGCAAACAAAGTAATTTTACTCCTTCACTGATGTGCATTGATAAGGCTGCTGCACTGATAGGCAGCAGTGATGGGCACTGATAGGCTGCACTGATGAAGTGGCACTGGGGGGCATTGGTGAGGAGGCACTGATATGCAGCAATGATTGGCGACACTCACAGGCGGTGCTGCTGATTGGCGGCACTGCTGGGCATCGATGGGCGGCACTGATGGGTGGCACTGCTGGGCACTGATTATCAGTGCCTGATGATCAGTGCCGATCTGCTCTGTGACAGCTGCCGGTTATCGGCAGTACTTTCCTCATGCTGTGACAGAATGAGGAAAGTGCTGTCGATAACCGGTAACTGTGTTTACTCCGTGACACAGCTGATTGGACATGGATTGGATTGTACATTGGACACAGCTGATCACATGGTAAAAGGCTGCTGTGATTGGCCTTTTACCTCATCTTGTGATCAGCTGTGTCCATAGGACATAGCGATTATGGAGAGCATCGGGTTCGTGCTGCTGGGGCACGCAGGAGGGTGCATTCTGGGAGGACGTCATGTGAAGCCCTCCAAGGACTGGACAACCGCACTGTAGCCGTCATTCAGCTATAGCGCGGTTGTGAAGTGGTTGGACCAGCTTTTGGATAAAAGGGGCTAAGTAAGGCCGCTTTCACACGGGCAGACCAATTGGGTAGGCCAGTCTATTTTTGAGGTGGACCTGATCAGACCATCTGATTGGACCATCAGACCAGCCCTCTACGAGCGGCGGTGGGTGTCCGTTTACACCCACCTGCATCCAATCCGATCTGCTAAAAACAGACATATGGGGGATCTGTTCTCCATCCTTCTAGCAGATCAGATGACAGTCGAACGTAAATGGACAGGCGGTCCGTTTATATCCAACCACCCATAGAGGAAAGCAGGCCGTGTCCATATCATCAGCATGAGCGGTCACAGACCTGTCATCCGCCTTCTTCTATCATCAGCGGATCAGAGTCCACTGGAGTGAAAGGGGCCTAAAAGTAATTCCAGGTTTAAAGTGGAACTATGGGCAAAAAAATATAAATTACATGTAATGCAGCTTGTAATTTTTATTGTTCTGAGTCCCCCCATTGATCCTGCCAGTAGATCCATTATTTTTCCACTTTTGCTTTTATTTATAAGGTTTAAACTTCCACAGGAATTAGAAAAATAAGGAGCGTTACTTTCAGCCATGTCACTAATTCTTCAGAAAATATTGATCACTTAAAAAAAAAAAAAAAAAAAAAAGGATCCTTATCATGGTACACAATTATTTTCAGTCATGTGAAGCTTCAAATGTTGCAAAGCACTCAGCTGAAAATAACTGTCACTTTTTTTTTTTATAAAGCAGTGTTAAACTCAAAACAAGAAAAGTATATTGCAGCTTACCAATCATTAAATATGGTGGCTGCATTTGTTTTCTTGCTTTTCCCCCCTCTGTTTTCACCTGGTGATCTGGCCAGTAACACACCTCCTGCATTAGAGTTCCCCCCATGCTGGATGAAGGCGTACAGGAGGCACCTTTTGGCTCCATGCACACGGGCGTTTTAATAAAGCTGGTAACGTTAGCTGTGTAAAGTCAAAAAGTGTGTAAAGTTTTTCAGTGTTTTTTTAGCAGTTTTGTATTAGCGTTTTGCCACGTTTTTTCGTGTTTGTGTTTTTTAGAGTTTTTTTAGTCAAGAAAAGGTCCAAAAATGCTGATTTACTGCAATTTACAGCGTTTTGCCGCGTTAGAGTGTTTTTACAGCTAAAAAACTCCTCTAGAAACCCACTGGTCCTGGGGTTTTTTTCCAGCCAAAAAAAGTTGATTACAGTCTATGTGTACATGGACACACAGGATACCATGCTGGGGGGTTTACTGGCTGTAGAAAAAAACATCAAAAGTCAAAAACAGCTGCTGTAAAAACATCCAGTGTGCATGACTTAAAGGGTTAAATCAGGCAGGAAGAAGGTGTTATATTGCCTACTCACCACCTGTCGAATAACCTCTGAAAAGTGATCTGAATGCAGATCGCTCTTCAGAGGGCACCACAGGGTAGAGAAAAAAGTCTGTAAGAACCCTTACATTATTGTCTCTATTGACGTTGACAGGTGTCACAGAGAACGATCACTAGGGAGTCCCAACAATGTGGGTCCCATAAATTGAAGCTACGCTCCTGCAGGAGAGCATGGCTATTTTCTGAAAATATCCTGATATAGGAAGCCTGAAAGCATGTGCGTTGTCTGGGTCCTATTATAATTGGACCACTGGCATCTAAATGTCTACAGGCACTTAGGACAGAAGCATTGACAGGGTGGTTTGCTGTAACTGCTCATAAAGTGCGAGCTTCAAGTTGTTAGTGTATCTAAATCTGCTAGTACAGCTAACAGTTTTGTTCCTTTTGAGATACAGGTTTTATATCAACAAAAGCTGATCATTGTAAGGACCCCTGCTAGTGTTAAAGGGTTTGTTTATCTCTGTAACTTATACATTCAGCTGGAGAGCTTGTTTTGAAAAACAACAGACTTACTGGCCGGATCAACAGATTAAAATAGCAGAAAGAAAGCCTAAAAAAGAAAATGAATGCGGCCATCACATGAAAGAATTGATAAGCTGCAAATATTATTTGCCTTTGAGTTGAATACAGCTTTAAAGGATCATTCTCCTGCTGTGTTTGCTTTGTGAATTTGGCCTATGATCGCTATTTGTATAACAGAGTTCCCTGGGCTTTGGTGCCAGCACAGATTTATCCCCTTGTGCTCTGCTGATGGTCAACCACCAGGGAAGTCCCCGAGGACCAGGAACAATTTCTAGCTGGCTGCAGCTAGGAGAGGCGAAGGTTTAGGTGTGCCAGCAGCAAGCAGGAGGATGGAAATTTCTAGAAGTCTGAAGAATCTGTCTGGATTTCTACTGTAAGACTTTTACAATTTGTACTCTAAGCCTTTTTACAATTCATCTTTATAGGGGATTCATAATGAAAGTTAATCATCAGCAGGTATAGATGACTACTGAACAGGACTGGATCTAGCCTATCTGATCTGGGGGTGCAATAAAAAAAGGGGGCATAATGTCAACACTATGTGCGTGAGTCACTGACAGTCTGTCACACAGTGTCAGGACCTGGGAAACACTAGTATGTATTAGTTGTCATTAGATTATGGTGATTAAAGAAAAGCTGTGCTCTCTTATGTCAGATGTCCTGTCAGGAGTCCTCAGAGTCCTTCTCTACATCATGACTACTAATCAGAGTCCCCCTTTATATCAAGTGTCCCCATCAGTGTGCCCCGAACATCAGTGTCCCCATCAGAGTGCCCCTGTACATCAGGTGTCACCCTCAGAGTGCCCCCTTACATCAACGTCCCTAACAGAGCTCCTCCTTGAATCAACTGTCCTCATAAGAATGTCCGCTTACATATGATCGGTTATCCCTATCAAAGTGCCTCCTTACATCAGGTGTCCCCATCAGAGTGCCCCTTACATCAGGTGTCCCCATCAGAGTGCCGCCTTACATCAATGTCCCTAACAGGACCCCTCCTGGAATAAATTGTCCTCATAAGAATGTCCCCTTACATATGATCAGTTATCCCTATCAAAGTGCCTCCTTACATCAGGTGTCCCCATCAGAGTGCCCCTTACATCAGGTGTCCCCCATCAGAGTGCCACTTACATCAAGTGTCCCCATCAGAGTGCCCCTATACATCAGGTGTCCCCATCAGAGTGCCCCTATACATCAGGTGTCCCCATCAGAGTGCCCCTTACATCAGGTGTCCCCATCAGAGTGCCACTTACATCAGGTGTCCCCATCAGAGTGCCACTTACATCAGGTGTCCCCATCAGAGTGCCCCTTACATCACGTGTCCCCATCAGAGTGCCCCCTTACATCAGCTGTCCCCATGAGAGTGCCCCCTTACATCAATGTCCCTAACAGAGCTCCTCCTTGAATCAACTGTCCTCATAAGAATGTCCCCTTACATGTGATCGGTTAACCCTATCAAAGTATCTCCTTACATCAGTGTTCCCATCAGAGTGCCCCTTACATCAGGTGTCACCCCCAGAGTGCCCACTTACATCAATGTCCCCAGCAGAACCACTCCTGGAATCAACTGACCTCATAAGAATGTCCCCTTACATATGATCAGTTATCCCTATCAAAGTGCCTCTTTACATCAGTTATCCCCATCAAAGTGCCTCTTTACATCAGTTATCCCCATCAGAGTGACCCTTACATCAGGTGCCCCCATCAGAGTACCCCTTACATCAGGTGTCCCCATCAGAGTGCCCCTTACATCACGTATCCCCATCAGAGTGCCTCCTTACATCAGCTGTCCCCATGAGAGTGCCCCCTTACATCAATGTCCCTAACAGAGCTCCTCCTTGAATCAACTGTCCTCATAAGAATGTCCCCTTACATATGATCGGTTAACCCTATCAAAGTATCTCCTTACATCAGTGTTCCCATCAGAGTGCCCCTTACATCAGCTGTCCCCATGAGAGTGCCCCCTTACATCAATGTCCCTAACAGGACCCCTCCTGGAATCAATTGTCCTCATAAGAATGTCCCCTTACATATGATCAGTTATCCCTATCAAAGTGCCTCCTTACATCAGATATCCCCATCAGAGTTCCCCTTACATCAGGTGTCCCCATCAGAGTGCCCCTTACATCAGGTATCCCCATCAGAGTGCCCCTTACATCAGGTGTCCCCATCAGAGTGCCCCTTACATCAGGTGTCCCCATCAGAGTGCCCCTTACATCACGTATCCCCATCAAAGTGCCCCCTTACATCAGCTGTGCCCCCTTACATCAATGTCCCTAACAGGACCCCTCCTGGAATCAATTGTCCTCATAAGAATGTCCCCTTACGTACATCAGCTGTCCCCATGAGAGTGCCCCTTACATCAGCTGTTACCATGACAGTGCCCCCTTACATCAATGTCCCTAACAGGGCCCCTCCTTGAATCAACTGTCCTCATAAGAATGTCCCCTTACATATGATCAGTTATCCCTATCAAAGTGCCTCCTTACATCAGTTATCCCCATCAGAGTGCCCCTTACATCAGGTGTCCCCATCAGAGTGCCCCCTTACATCAGCTGTCCCCATGAGAGTGCCCCCTTACATCAGGTGCCCCTGTACATGGATTGCTCCCATCAGAGTGCCCCTTTACATCAACCTTCTGCATCAAACTGGCTCATGGATCAGTGGTTGCGCTCTCAGAGAACTGGGGGGCAGCGGCACAAGCAAAATCTGGGGGGGGGGGGGCACAGTCCTCCCCAGCACCCCCCTAGATCCAGCCCTGCTATTGAAGCTATTCTGTGTTCAATAAAAATTTATATTTCAATACAGCTAGTATAGTTACCTTAACATGTTTAGATATTAGCTTCCTGTAATCCCTGTATAGCAAACTTAGAACAGAGAGAGAGGGTCAGCACAGACAGCCAATCAGGTTCTGCACCTGCCTTTTCAAGAGAAGGGAGCGGCAT